AATTCAATAATTAATTTTATAGACAAAATATTATATTTAAAATAAAATTAAAAGTCCTGTAGGTATGTTATTTGCCACATGAATTGGTTCGTTATATTTCACTGAAAAATATTCGTTTTTTGTATTCAATAAAAATCAACTTTTTGAGGTTATGCATAATTTTGAAATAAAAAAAGTTATAAAAATAAAACTCACTTTGTTATCAACTGAAATATAACAGGGTAAAACCAGATATATAAGTACAACTTTGAAAATCTAGTATTTAATGTCCCAATGGAAACTTAAGGTAATGTAAAGATTCTTCCACCTTGTTTAAGTTGCAATGGACTTATTATTGTATACTTACATAAAATATAATCCTAGAATGAGAAGATCTGCAAAAATATAGAAGGGTTCAATTGTTATTTCCATTAACAGATACTTAGAATTTATGCTCACACACCCTTAAAAAGCAACTTCTTGGTTGAACATAATGCCTAGTGTTAATTTAAGAATCTAAAGTGGATTATCTTTTCACAGAAATAAGATTTTTATTATTTGTTGTGATTGTTGAAGTACCATATTCTCCAATGAGTTATGGAGTAAATTTAGAATCAAATCACAACTTTCATCTTTTGCTCTAAAATAAAATTCCTTTAATGATATCTCTTCAATTGTTGTTTTGATTTTAGTTGAAAATAATATTTGATGATTATTAGGGTTATATAATTTTAGTAGAGGAGGATATTTTATAATTATCAGAATTTTAGTTAAGCACAAATTCTTAAAGGATATAAAAAAGTTCAAATAAATAATTAATTAATTAATTAATTAATTAATGAAATTAAGTATGAGTGGATATATTTTTATTTAGTTTTATATACATTTGTTTAGGTAAATTTATATAAGATTAAATATATAATATAATTATCTTTTAAAAGTGAATGTATATATAAAAACCGTGGATGTGAAAATAACGTCACTCTTCATTTTTTGACCATTTTTCTTGTTACTAGCTAGGACCCAGTGGTACAGTATATTCTGATTGCGCAGGAAGCATAAAGATGGAATTGTCATTACTACACTTAGTATGAATTTTACGTGAAGGGGCAATTATGTAATTTTGTTAGGATTGGCCAATAAATGCAACTATCTCCTTACATAATTCTTCTAAAAATCAATTGAAAATGGCTATCGAACACGGGCTTAATTTCGAATTCTCTACGACGTTATCTTATTTCCACTGAATTTTTTGAACTCTCTGAAAGATTATACAAATATGAGGTCAATTATCTCATATTTACGATTCTTTAAACTTTTTGTACTAATTATTTGTAAATCCTATTAGTGGAGTTTGGTAGCTATTCCCCGATTAGGACATAATCAATTTTTCAACGTCAACATGCATCATTCAATTATTAACTAACTTTTGCTGACGAGATAATTCGAGTAAATATTTTCTTATTAATAGTTTAATCTTCTGAATAATGTAGTTTTGCATAGTATTAGAGTGACTAGAAATTTTAAAAGTTTTTCCAATATTCATTAATGAAATTATATAATGACGTAAAAATAAATTTAACGTGCTTGTAAAGAGAAGTGTTGATGATACAATTTAAATAAAATTTTCTTTAGGCTTACAAAACAAGGTTATTCAATATCTTCCAAAAATAGTATACAAAATATTGACCAATATCGTATATCAAATTATGAAACCTATTTTTAACCTATTGGTCCTTGTATCATAGGCGATCTAACTTGATCTCGAGTGACTTTTCCTTTGAAAAATAGAAAATAAAACGAAATAATAATACATGGGTTTCCAACCTTTTGATAAATGGCACTCCGATCCCTAGCAAAATATTCTTGAGAATGACTATTTTTCTCGAAGGATCAGAAAAAATGGGCCCAAATCTCCTGTGGGAATGATTTGGAAGATCCAAAACCAAAAATAGTGGTATTTGCTAGCAACAACATAATGAAGACAGTTAATCAATATAGACTGATCTGAAATTTGATTCAAATCCAACCTAAACTTTTCATTTTAATAATACTTAAGTAAACATATGCGAAATGTCCAAAAAATATTTCGGTGCATTTAATTTTTTAACGTTTAAAGTGAACAGAAAATACTACAAAAATACAAAATTTAGATAATTATTAAATGTTAAAAAATTGAGTAGACACATTTACGACGAGAATAAATTCTCCACTTGCCATTCTTCCGAAAATATCATTGGCGCCCGGCCCCACTTAGGCTCATAAGTGTACCAACTTTTCAACACAAACAAGGTTAAACATCATCGGGGTTCACCTAATTATTTTTAAAAAGTTTTCAATAAAGTAATTGAGCTTTGATTTTATTGTAAATCCAATCATTATGTTAAATGCAGTTGATGCATATAATAAAATTTGCTATATAGACTTTAAAATGAAACAGAATGTCACGTAGGATGAAGTTCGTATGTATAAATTTGCGAATGATGTAATGGAAGGATTTTTGGGTTGAGGAAATCGTGTTCGTAAAATCACACAACTTTGTCAATGTGAGATTTTAGTATCGTAACATTTGTCTGATAAGTGTCATATCATTATATTTTAACTTTTAGTACTCAAGCAAATCCCATCAACTACTCTCAGGTTAATCGTGTTTCTAATTTACTAATCAGTAATTTGCATCTTACATGTCATTTCTTCTGATTTTAATGTTAACTCAAGCAAATCCCATCAACTACATTCAACCAAATTGTGTTCCTAAAAGCACACACCTTCGTTAATGTGAAGATTTTACTAATGTGTCATTTGCATGTACACGTCATTTTATTTGATTTTAACGTTCACTCAAGCAAATCTCGTCAACTACACTCAAAACAAATCGTGTTACTAAAAGCACACAACTTTGTTAATGTGAAGATTTTTTAACGTGTCACTTTCATGGTATATTTCATTTCATCTGATTTTAACATTCAATCAAACAAATCTCATCCAACTACACTAACATTGTTATATGACTCAATTTAAAAAAAAAAAAAAAGAAATGTACAGTGACTTAATTAGGATTTTTTAAAGTTAGGTGACTTCCAATATAATTTACCCA